CATTTATGACTCGTTAGTCGATATACTGTGGTAAAACATATTGCATGTACACGAGCACGCTTAGTCCATGTCCCAAGTACACACGTTGTCGTACTTAATATGTCACTTAACGCTAGGTAATAAGCTCTTTGTATCAGCCTTTTACGAAATGGCCACGTTACCTGGACCCTCTAAACCTTAGTTACATTGGTGGTTACCATTTTAATTAATGTTTATTATACCCCTTGTATTTGCTATTAATTCACACGGTAAATCATGGCTCGATTCTTTATTACACGACAGTCATTTTAATTCTATTTTGGGTTTATTTACATGCGATAGGGGTTTGGAAAATATCTAAACGTCCTCGAAAATTCTCCGCGAACCCAACCGTAGTTTTCGTATATGCTTTTATTCACACATCCAACAGTTACGCTAATAATACCTAAACGAACGTTCAGTGCAACTGTCAGTATACGTAAGAACGATGTTATTTAGACTTGACATTGTAACACATCTGAACTATTGTAGTTATTCTACTTCGATGTCGTACTTTATTTTATGAAGCATTGTTTCCTCGTGTCTACTATTTAACAGATGATTTCGGTACATCAATCGGCTGTTCAACTACTCGACGATTTACAACCTGTCCAGTTCAATTGGTGGTCTGACGACAATATCATTCGCGCGAATCATCAGTTTATGCAGTCGAGCGAATCTCCTGCAAACTGAAAACGATATTGTCGCCTCTATCCCAACACTGACAGCGTTTTTCACGGGTATCATTGACATGAGTCCAGAGTGACACTCTTGGTTTCTTATGTTCTTTTCGATATTTTTCTGTTCACTAACCGAACAATCACGCAGCATTCACCGTTTATCATCTTTTAGAGACTTCATCGTGCCACCTTTGCTGTGGATTTGTAGCCTTCAACCCTTACTGACTGTAACAGCAGTCATCGACTTTTCAAACTGTGACTACAAGTTGGTCAATAGCTTCGCACAACGAAATCACGACCACTCTTCACTGTTATACTTCTGTACTTACGGTTAGTCTGTTGGATATAGATATAACTAGAATTTGACACTAATTAATAGCTGTCAACGACACTGTCCGACTTACAACTTTAAACTAATAACAGTACAAATATGGATATCGATTGATAGTACACTTATCCTACTATCGCTATAGCATCATTACTCTTGCGGCAGACTTAACGTTTGTCATCGGAGGAACTGAACTACTTGTCAACGCTATATATTTCAGCGCGACTTGATAGAACAATAAAACGTTTTGTTCTTTTCATTATTTCTATGGTTAATCGCTTTACGTTTAACGAACGTCCTACTAACATATTATGACTCGCTGTTTCCCGACCAGTTTCTGCCGCCTCCTTTCCATTTCTTTTACAGATAAGCAATACCTGGAGGATTTATAATATTCGTTTGGTACTCTCTGGCGCGCGACTGTTCGCAACATGTTTGGTACCGATTCAAACGACCGTTGAATCTGGTGGGGGAGTATTGTAGGGTCAGTGAAATGTCACTGAGCCCTAGCCAAATCATACGGCAGTTGGATCACTGAATGTCGAACAGATCATCGCTCCCTGCCAAGGTCATGTAGAAGCAACGCGCATTAGTTAATCATACGCCATGGACTGGCCCATGCGGCAGTGGTCTTACTTTCGCCTGTATCTACCTTAACTAATATATTTCTGTAATAACGTCCTTTGTGTTGTACAGTCTTCAAAGCATCTATAGTACCTTGTTACGTCAATGGGGGTAGTCCACGTAAGGTGCTGACCACAAGGTGTGACTTCGACGTTAGTTGGTTCGTCACACTATTCACGTCTAACTCGAGTCGGCCTCCAATCATTTCGACATAGATCATCTACGTTGGTGATCTACAAAGTATTTATAAATGGTTGTCTACGCAGGATACTCAACATCTATTGGCCGGATACCATCAGCAACAGCCTTCTGTGGGAGGAAACAAACCAGGTTCCGTCTGAAGAGGAAATCATAAAAAGACAGTCGGAGTTGATAAGACATACATTAGGGAAATCACCAAACTGCATCACGACGCAAGCCCTAACCTGCAATCCTGAAGGGAAGTGGAAAAGAGGAAGGCCAAAGTATACATTACGTAGGGAAGTAGAAGCAGATATGAAAAAGATGAATAACAACTGAAAGGAGCTGTAAAGGACTGCCCAGGGCAGGGCTAGATGGAGGATGCTGGTGAGCGGCCTATGCCCCTCCACGAGGTGTAACAGGCGTAAGTAAATAAGTAATATTACACGGGAGTCCTTACATGTTGTAGATGTGCAATGAGCAACTCGATCGGTAGGTTGGAGTTGGAGTAAATCCCCACATGTGAGGTGTGTAGGTTTTGGATTCAATTAGTTTCTAACTAGCTACATGTGCCCAGTTAAAGGTATCGATCCTACCAATCGATTGATAATCTCAAATCGAAGGTCGTTTTTATCTTGCCGTGTTGCCAATGTTACAAATGCCCGTTAAAAAACCATGAATGTCGATTATAATTTTTGTTGATTGGTTATTTTCGTTGATTCAGCTAGTTAGTTAAGTTTGAAAACGAATCACCATAAAGATAAGACAGCAAATTTTCTCAGTGATTAACAAACCTACGCAATATCGACAGAAATGACGAAAAATAAGTTTAGAATGCAATCGTACAGATGATGGTCATAATAGATTGCGTTATTTAAAGTCTTGCTCATCAGTGTAGATAACCAAAACAGGTTGACTGTGTCGATGATTCCGGGATCTACTCGTCTTGGACGGGGATGGCATCACCGACCAGCTCATGCCGAAGTCACACCTCAAGGTTGGCACTTTGCGTTGATTCGGGTACTATGACCACTTTGAAGACTGTACAACACAAACAATGTTATTACTGAAATATATTAATGAGAACAGGTACCATGAAAACAGCTTGGTTACTGCCACATGGGGTAGTCTATACGGTGTCACTGATTGGTGAGCGTTGGCTGCCATTGACCTTGACGAGGATTTGTGAAATGATTGATATACAGTGACCCGACTGCCGGATGAGTAAGTTAGGGCCAAATGACATTATTCTGGCTCCCTATTAGCGTCGTGAAAGTATTATTACTCAAATGCACCATGAATGTAATTTTCAAGTTCAACGGCGAAATATATAGACAAACAGATGGTGTTGCAATGGGTTCACCACTGGGCTCTATACTAGCTGATATTTTTCTAGCCAAACTAGAAAATGGTCCACTAAAAAAGATTATTCACAACTTCACATTTTACTGTAGATACGTGGATTACACGTTCATCCTCTGTAAAGATAATATGTCACCGCAAGAAGTTCTTAGACGATTTAATGAAGTGCATCCAGCCATTCAGTTTACATCTGAAGAAGAGAATGATGGCCGAATAGCCTTTTTGGACGTTCTCTTGACTAAGAGAGTGGATGGATCGTTAAAAAGGAATGTAAACAGAAAAATTACTTGGACTGGGCAGTATACGAATTTCCTGAGCTTTGTACCTCTACAGTACAAACGAAATTTGATCAAAAACCTTAGCTACCGTATTCGCACTATATGTTCTGCTGATATAGTCGAACAAGAGCTTACCACCTTGAATAATACTCTCAGGGAGAACGGCTACCCTAGAAAGTTTATAATTAAACATATGGTCACGAAGGCGAAAGTAGGAGAAATACAAACAGTGAAGAAGAAATCCTTGTTCATGCGTCTACAATCCAGAGGGGATGCGGCTAGCGAAATACTAACTCAGAGACTACGTAGGACAATACAAAAGTATTTTAACGCCGGAGAACTGCGATTAGTATTTTCTACGCGCCCAATGGTTACATCGAAGCTAAAAGATGAATTACCCAGAATGACCACCTCATTTTGTATTCATCAGTTCAACTGCTCCTGTGGAGCGAGTTATATTGGTCGAAGTTCTAGGAATTTACATTTTCGTGCTCGTGAACACCTTCCAGCGTGGCTAAACAAAGGTTTGATGAAGAAGGTGAACAGCTCAATATTGGCCCATTTAGTACAATCCGGTCATAGTGCCAGTATAAACCAATCTTTTTCAATTATTTATAAGGTAAGTAAATTTTGCCAAAACTGGTCAGACTGAAAGTCCTTCAAACGGCTGAAGCAGTAGCCATCTGAATGAAGAAACCGGAGCTATCCGTACAGAAGAAATATATTCAGCCACTCCTCCTCCCCTGGCCAACATCAAGGCCAATTAATCAATCGTAATCTTAACCATTGAATGACCCTATTTGACTATGACCTTTCGTAGTCAATTGTAATTGTCCCTGTTATCTTTATTCATAAATCTTTGTATTGTTCGTATTATTATTCGTATTATTGGTTAAACATAATTAATCTCCCTATACATGATTCATTCACTTCTCATTCATCCCTCCGTATTACGTCTTACTTATTTGATCGAATTGTAATTGCACTATTATTTCTCTCTCACCCTATTTGACCCGTATTTATTCTGATCATCGATCTTAAAATTTTCATTTAACATATACGCAGATTCAAGTTAACATCTTATATGAGTCATATTAACATTAACAATTTTATTGTATTTTGTTTATCACAATCCTAAATTCACATGCTCTAAACGATGTACTTTACCCTTAACTTGGCCATTTTTCGGATTAATAATTTGGATATATAATTGTAGAACCTGAAGAGAATTTATCGAAAAGACTATTCTTCGTTCATATATTAGTCTTTTAATGAACAGATATCCTGATGCAATGTAATTGACTGAGTACGCTTTTATAAAAATGCCCTAGTCAATGCATTTTTGTAATTCAACTAAACAACCATAAATCCATATTAATACCTTACGGACGTCATTGTCACTGACAGTAATTTGTAAGTATCTCTGCCTCATAAGTTGTGATAGAGATGTGAGCATGATGGTGTAGGTGTGACTATGGTCTTAACCAATTAGCATTAAATTACTCTTTCTTATTTGGATTCACAAACTAAAAATACAAAACCAATCATGTTAAAGACAGTCGAAAGCTCTTCGTATATAAGTTAATTACTATTCCATTCTTTCTGAAAAAATATATGGAAAAATAGTTTTAATGATTCGAGGACTCCTCAGATTTGCCAAAGCGGTGTGTTTGAGTATGTTTGTTCTGAGCAGGTTGGTCTTGCTGTCGAATGTAAGTCGATCCCATGTGCTCACAGTGCTTTTGACTTATTTTTCTCGTATTGTTTCTAATTCAAGCCCCCCTATTCAAGGCAATATTGATCGATTCTGGACGAATCATGAGACAACATTATGAAAACGTCCTAAAAAGTACAGTGGCCCCATGTATTTAGATGAAAAGTGGGCAATTCGGTGTGTATGTGGTCGAAAAGTAGGCGGTTCAGCAACTTTATAAACTCGGACAGAAGTGGGGAAACTTTGCATCGTTCTCTCATGACAAGCGAAAAAATAGACTGGCGCGTCTTCCTATTAATAAGAAATAATTATTTCCCCTTATTTTCTAAAAGTAATGTCTCATTTATTTTCGCGTTGTCCGCCTTTATTTCCCTTCTTGGATGTTTGAGGGACTAGTAAGGTCTTTTAAGATCTAGTTTTTGTTAAGGTAATAATTGAATTTTCCCATAGTTTCTACTGCCTGGGATAATCCCCTTACTTCTTTAAATGAACTCCCAAACTGTTGACTGAGTTTGCGGTTTCTACCTACAATTTCTACGGAATATCTGACAAATTTACCACCAAGATTGACTAGTAATGTGGACAAAGATCCGGCTTTCTAACAGTTTCTGTCGTTTTGATAGCTTAATTATCTACTGGTTATCCCAGTTAAGATTAGCTTTTGCTTCTTTATCTCTAGATTTCGGGGAAATTCTGGGAGGTTTTAGGGTTTGCACAACGTCATGAAGATTCGTGGTTTCTCCTGGTGTCTGGAGAAGTTTTGGGGAGACTAAAATAGAACCATATGTACACGGTTTATACTTACGTTTTCTTTCGGTCTCCACTTTTGTACTTTATTCGTACACCATCCGAATAAGCCCAACTCGTTTAATCAGTCCCCTTATATCGTTCTCATCGACTGATTGAACTTTGAACCCTAAACATCTAGTCAGTAATGTTTGCTATATATGTGACTTACTTTCCGTTCCATGCAATGTATATTCAGTGGCTATTTGTCGTGGTAGGACATACACCAACAGTAGTCTTTCGGTCCTATAAGGGTCTACTCTGTGCATCCTAGGCAATTTTCCCACTGGGAGTGTGAACGGCAGTTGCAACTTACAAAGCAACCGTGGATTTGTTCGTCTGCTAATGCAACCTCCATCATGTCTACCAAAATTGGTATGGGTAATTACCAATTTTATTGAACGATATGTAGTCAGTTATGGAGATTTGCCTAGGGAAATGAAGGCGCTTTCCCAAATTCAGTAGATATTTTGAGTAGTTTTTGGGAAAAGCCCAAACTGAGTGAAAATCTTGTTATTTTCCATCTTTGCTTCTCGATATTTTCTCAAGTTACGTGAAAATTTCATGCGCGTTTGTTTATTTTGGAAAAAACCAATACCTGACTGAACTCTGGGTTTTTTCATTTTCCCGAAATTTCTAAACGAACTGTTCTCAAGTTAATAGATTTTGCTCCAAAGCTTGGAGTTTTGGCGTCTAATGGATTTGAAATCTTGCTAATACTTCTAGTTCTACTTGTCAGTTTATTCTGGTTCACTACCTATTTTGTTTCTATTCGTTATTGACTACTTTCATTATTTTATTTAGGTATATTTGATGTAATTAATGAGTCGTTTCGCGTTTTTACTATTCTATTTTCTCCACATGTTACTCTTCACGCTTCTCCAAATTTGAACCGCTACTCTGTTCAGCACATATTTGAGGCAGTTCTATGGTAACGTGTGTTCCTTAAAAGATACTGCGTAGGTCTAGTACAGTAATTTCTCACTTCCAGTCTTCCTTTTGTAACATTGTTAATCATATCAATGTATCAGTTCTTTGACTAGATATCTGGACTTACGAAATAACACCAGGCTACTTTCGAATAATGAATCCATAAACCCACTATTCCGTGCTTCTGTGTAGTCACACTGGTGATAGTGATGTCAACTAGAAACAGTTGAATTTTTCTCACTATCCTTGTTGTATTCACAAAATATGTATGTATCTAAGCCTTATTCGTTAGACGAAATAAACTTGCGCGTAGCAATATATCAGTGTTCTAAACGAATTTTATTTCTGTGTGAACTGTTAGAATGAAATGTATTTGTATTCTGTCGTTGATTTTGTATTTTATTTGAAATTAACAGTTGCTTTATACTTTATTTGTTCTTTTCTAACTCCTCAAAACTAACTATATGTTTTTTTCTAAATTCCTGAATACATGATTTAGGATTTAGCATAGAAGGTGATGGTGGACGATGTGGATAGTTCTAATACGTAATTCTGTCACTTTCTTGTTAATGTTTTAGAAATTTGTCGCTCGTAGAAGAACATTCTTCAACACAAATAAGATCAAGTTTAAGTTGTGATAGCCCGCAAAACAAACCTAATAATAAGACCTGGAGCAGTTCACTAAAGTGTTCTGTTTCGTGTACTTCTTTATTACCGGTTTTCAGCATACCTTCAGAAAAGAGTCCTTCTTCGTATGTCTACCGCACAGATGGTGCTGAACGTGGACTGTGTGTTGTTTTTTCAGTTGATAAATTTGATCCGATACTTTGTTTGCCACCAAGAAATGGTTCTTTGGTTGATATACAAAATATTAAGAGAGCTTTTACGAGCCTCGACTTTAGGGTCATAGTGCATTCAAATCCGACATCCGAAAGTTTATTTTCTTTAATCCGAACAAGTAAGTTGTGTGGATTGTTTAGTTTATATAAGGTGTAAAATATATTTACTTGGGCGGTTTTGTAGAGATTTTGTATAATCTGTTAGTAATTTTCAGAGCGTTCTAGTTTCACTTGAGCAAATGTTTCGTCCCATTTTAAATGTAAGCAAAAAAACTGGCGGAAAGACTTCGATTATATATATATATATCAGTCAGTCAGTAACAACGTAGAACTTCGTACGTACGTACATCAGTTCGAGTTGCCACACCACATTAGCACTGAGATACAGTTGTCGATTCAAATCCCGTAGTGGTAGAGGTAATAAGAGTATAAGCAGTAATCGGGAAGATTAGAGGTTGGAGATGTTATTTAAAGAGTATAATCCAGTGACATAAATTTGGAAAGAGGAAAAAAGGGACATGAAGAATTCAGAAGATTAGAATTTGGGAGAACACAAAGAGTGGATGCACCTGCGCCATCGCAAACGATTTGGAGTCATGTCATTCAGGGTCTCTAACCATCGGTTACTATCGTCTCGCGGATCCCAACCAGGTAGTCTACACCTACCAACATGACTCAGTCCACTTGTCAGTGACTTCATGAACTTGTGCCATGTTTTAGTCTGGCCGCCCCTAGCTTTCTTCCAACCTACTCCTATACTACTGAACATCGCACGTCGAGGCAGTCGGTCGTTGGGCATACGTAACACGTGTCCCAGCCATCTCAATTGATGATGTTTCACTCCGTCATCAATTAATTTGCCTGAACCTGACGTAGTGTGAATATCTGATCTATACAACCACGTCCAGGTCGAAAACCGGCCTGGTTTTCTCTAATCTGCTCTTCACGAGCTTTGATTAGGCGTCGAAGTATTATTGAAGCTAATATTTTAGACACCATATTAGTCAAACTGATTCCTCTGTGATTGTCACAAGAGGACTTTTGTCCTTTCTTATAGACTGGCACAATCAGTGATTGAGACCAGTCATATGGGATTACGTCCAGTTCCCAAATCCTACCTAAGACCTCGGTTAATCTCATTGCTAATACTGGACCACCATCCTTAAAACTCTCAGGAGTAAACCTGTCAGGGCCTGCCGCTCTCCCTCGTTTCAGATTTCCTATGGCTTTTTCAACTTCGTAAAGGGACGGAGGACCTACATTAACTTGCCATTCAGGTTGACTGGAGATCGTGGGAAACCGAAGTGTGGCTGAAGGCCAGTTGAACTGATCCCTAAAGTGTTCTGCCCATCGATCCAATCTCCTGGATTGAGAATGAATAATATGTCCATCTTTCTCTGAGATTGTTTCGCTAACGGTCGGGTTCCTAATACCGGTTTCCTTAACAAGTCTGAACAATTGTCTGCTATTACCTATTGCCGCTGCCTTTTCCATCTCTCTTGCTTTCGCTACCCACCACTGTTCGCGATCATTGCGTAGACTTCTTGTCAGCTTGCGCTTAAGCTGACTCCGCTCTTCATTATGTTCAGAGCCAGGTTGAATGAGTTTCCGAGCATCTATCAGTGAGATAGATGCTGCTGAGATCCAGTGTTGCTCCCTAACCTTCTGGTTTACCTTACTAGCAGATATCACTGCTGTTTCCACAGCTTTTCGGATATCATTCCATGCTGCCTCAGGGTGGGCATCACATACATGGCTGCCTAACTGTTTTCCTAGTTGTTCCTGAAATATACTCTTAGCTTGACTCATTAAGTAGGCCCCTAAGAGGTTTCCTTCCAGCGTCTTTCCTACGTCCAGTAAGACGCAAGCAAATACGCGCTCGCACTAGAGCATGATCTGAATCTAGGCATGTGCTCCAGAATGAGCGACGGTCTTCTATCGAGCCCCTCCATCGGTGGCTGATAGCGATGTGATCTATTTGGGTCCAACGTTGGGACGAATTAGGGGGTCTCCATGTTAAAAGATGTTTTTCCTTATGCTTAAAGTTAGTATTTGCAGGGAACAGGCGGTTATCTGAGCATAGCTGCAACAGACGGTCGCCATTATCTGTTCTTTGAGCCACGACACCATAAGATCCACCTAGGTGTCTTTCCCTATCGCTTAGTTTACCTACTTGAGCATTAAAGTCACCGGGCACTATTACTACATTCGAGCGCCTAGCTTTTCGGAGAAGGTCGGAAAGCTTTCTGTAAAACTCATCTTTTACATCATCTGAGCTGCAGTCAGTGGGAGAATAGGCAGAGACGACGAAGAGGCAACGACAAGTGTCCCTATCTTTCCGGATTCTTACTGTTCCGTTCAGTCGGACAGCGCACAAACGACTGTCTACTGGGATCCACTCTAAGAGAGCCAGTTCTGCCCTAGGACTCAATGCTATACCTACGCCGGCGAGGCCACGTGAAGCAGCATCAGGGTTTCCAGATACACGAAGCGTAAATCGAGTCGGTTCTTTATTTTGGCATGGTGAGGTCAAATGAATGGACGCTACTCGGATCCTGTATGCGCGTTTCGGAGACGCAGCACACGTCGATGGCGCGAGATTCTAAAGTTTTAGCTAAGGAAGCCTGCTGTCCTATTTGGCAAAGTGTTCGTACGTTAAAAGCTCCTACGTGTAGTTTAGAGCGTGGTTTCAGGAGACCAGGAATGGCGTTCCACGTACTCGAATCGTTTGCCCTAGCGGTGCGAGGTGATAAAGAGACGCGAGGAGGGTTAGTCGGGGAGATAAGAGAGGTATTAGAAGGTATAGGAAGGATTTGAATGTGACCACCTTGGTCTCTTGTGCTGTTACGGGTATGAGGGCTGATGTCACTTCCCGGCTGCCCACACCGTGGAAGGGTATTTCTTGAGGAACCTGAAAAGGAAATTGGATTAGTGTTGGTCTTGACGACCTGGGAGCGTGACCGCAGAGCCCAAGGGACAACTGCTTGAGGCCGGTCGCGCACGACCTTTTTGTGGAAGGTTTTTGACGTGTTAGCTCCGTTCTTCAAAGGGCCTTACCGCCGGAGACGGAAATCCGTGAGGTAAGGTTTGGTGTGCATTTTTAGGGTCGACCTTTTCTAACCCCACCCCTCCTTGTAGGAAGGCAGCATCGCTCTCATGCTGGTTGTCCGAAGGGGAAACACCTTACTGCTGTCACACCCCTCTATAGTCAGCAGTACGACTTCGCCCTCAGACCTTGAGTTGATGCTTTTAGTCTTACCGTTCACCAATCGACCTGCCTGGCATGGTAGAACCTGCAGGAACATATGTTCCAGCCAATATAGCTCGGTTGGGTCATCACGATAGGCAAGCCCGACCACCGCGTCAAGGTAGCAGCTTCGATCGGGTATATATATATATATATATATATATATATATATATATATGAGTATCCTTACAACAATTTCACTATATCAGTTATATCAAAATACAGACTGCTCCGCTAATGCTCACGCATGGCCACGCGTATATAGCCACTGCCAGGGAAGCCTTACTCGCTGGTTTCTTGCGGCATTACTATTGTTTACGAAACTGAGAGGAGGAAAAGCGAATGTCCGGCGCTTTAGTCGGTTGGTGGCCATGGAGAGTCCATCTGGAAGAGTTGGAAAACCCTGATTCCAAACCGATGGTCTACATGGGCTCCAAAATCCTGAAGAAACAAATGGCATATGAACCAATTGTTAGTTACCGGCATCTCCTGACGTTGCTCCACTACCTTGTAGATCAGACCTTTAGGTTAAAGACTCCGGGTGTGGCCCCCTAAGAAAACGATCTGCTTCAGTTTGGTCACCCGTGCAGTATCATAGCCCACACAAATCAAGTGACTTATGTTTATTTATTTGAAAACATAAATATTGGTACAAGGAGTCACCAAATATATATGCGCCACACAAAACAATCACAATGGGAAGAGAAAAAAGGATGGTAAGGAGCGTAAAAGAAAAAAAGGAAGAAGAAGAATAACGACCAGGTTAGTGTCAGGTAGTGTAATAATAATGGGGGAGACGGAAAGGTACAACCAGAAGAAATCTTTCAGTTTGGAAAGATACAACCACTTTTTTATGAAGAAAATCAAAGAAGGTTACAGCAAGATCGCCACTGGCTTATATTCTGAGCCATATCTGATAACGTCTCTGCGCCCGAACACACGATCCCGAACCTCTACATTACTAACATGGTGTTGCCACTGGATGTCAGCAATCCTTCGGAGACAGTGATGATCAAACACAGAGAGCCATCTAACATCCTCAACTCGGAGAGGCCAGGTTTCACAAGCATAGAGCAAAACTGCTCTCACGGACGCGTTGTAGATCCGAACTTTTACAGCCAGACTAACATCACGAAGGCGCCAAAGATGGCCCAGATTGGCATAACCCGCTCTGGCTTTCACTATACGTGCATTGATCTCATCACTTACGCAACCACCAGCACTTATGCAGCTACCTAGATACACGAACTTCTCGACTACTTCTATCTGCTCGCCATCCAGAGTGAGTACAGGATTAGGATCCTGCGAGTCTTGTAGAAGTACTTTGCATCTCGAAGGTGCAAAGCACATACCATACCTATGGACATTGATTGCCAACTGATTAAGTGCGGATTGCATGGCTTGGGCATTACCTCACAGTAAGACAATATCATCCGCATACTCAAGGTCAAGAAGTCTTTCTCCAGGCAACAGGTCCACACCGCCATTACTTACATCCATCAGAGTTGTTTCCAGGACGTCGTTGAAAGCAAAGTTGAAGAGGAATGGTGAGATTGGGCAACCCTGTCTAACCCCATTGCTTGAATGGAACAATGGAGAGAGGTGGTTGTATGCCCTCACTCTGCCTGAGGTGTTTGTACATAGGGCCTTTAGGATGTTAATAAACATCTCAGGCACACCGTTCTTCAATAGACAATCCCAGAGAACAGTCCTGTCCAACGAATCGTAGTAGACTTATCCCCGATAGTTATCAAAGGAACGACGTGAACCCTTTTTAAAGATAGGGACAACTATCGACTCATTCCATGACGTTGGTACACTCTTTAGTTCTTAGACCTTTGTAAACAACGTCGTCAGTTCCTTAGTCAGAAAGTCACCACCATCTTCTTGGTCCTTACGCAAGCTTTCCTCGATTTCCTTACTGTTATGACCTTGATCTGTCTGCTCTATATTAAGACCTTGACGCAATGGGCTGATCGGTTTAACCTTGAGGCTAGTGCGCTTGAGTTTGAGGCGGGGTAGAGAGAAGAAAACTATTCTACCACCTGATTGGCTGACAAGCACGGTAATGAGAGAAGACAAGACAACTGGAACACTATTCACTCTATTCCGATATATTGATTTCCTGTGAAATCTCTGAATTCAGATTAGTGCAAAAAGGTACATGAATAAATAGGTGATTTACCCGACCACAACGTGCAATAATTTGGGAAAATACAATTATGTCCAAAACTGGGAATTAGAGTAGGAAATAAGGTGCAAAATATTATGTTTAAATTACAATAGCTTCGGAACAAAAAGGGGTATGGCAATGAATGATACATCGAACGAAAGCTCATGTTCTGTAGAATAAAATAGGGACAAAAATAAATGTCAGTGTTTTACAAGCTTTGAATAAAATGAAATAACGTCCCAAAAAATAGCTTTCGTAGTTTGTCAGGGCTTCTTGTTCCCCTGTTCACATCACTTAAGTAACATCCTTCGTTTGTGGTCAAACTCACGGTCACCCGGAGTAGATCGACGGGCTTCAATGAGTTGTAAGGAGCCTGAAGAAAACCAGTGCTTATAAGCGGGACGTTTCGCGAACCCACAACTGACTGTACCAGCCATTTTCATGGCGTCATGCAATTGCGACCAATGCTCATCTATACTTTTCGGTGGTATGGTAGCTAGCCTAGAAGCTAGCTCGGTTCGATAAACACTAGCAACAGAAGTTGCAACCAGATTGCTAACATCAATCCTTTGATGGCGGTCACTTCGTTGTCCACTAAAAAGTAAGGTAAGATTGGCGCAGACCAGGGCATGGTCAGAGCCCAGATAGGTACTCCAAAAGGAGCGGCAGTCTTGTACACAATCACACCAGTGGTAGCTGATCGCGATGTGATCAATCTGAGTCCAGGCTTGAGATGCAGAGGGGGACGCCAGGTGGAACGTCGGCGATGACTGTGCCGAAAGTTAATGCTAACCAGAAACAGGTTGTGGTCTGTGCACAGTTGCAGTAGACGGTCCCCGTTATCTGTCCTGCGACCAACAAGTCCCCATCGGCCACCTAAACGACTCTCTTCTGTGCCTAGACGCCCGACCTGAGCATTCAAGTCTCCGGCTAGTACTACAATATCTGTCGAACGCACTTTCTGGAGAAGAACAGATAATTGGTGATAGAATTCATCCTTGACTGCATCCGGGCTGCAATCTGTCGGGGCATAGGCGGAGATGACGAAAATATATCGTTTCTCACACCGATTTCTTCTCACCTTGATGGAACTTTCTAATCTAACAGCACATAACCGACTGTTAATGGGGATCCAATCGATTAGTGCTGCCTCAGCTCTAGCGCTTAGTGCGACACCAACGCCAGCAAGACCAGTCGAAGATGCCACAGGGTCCCCGGATAAACGCACGTAAAACAAGCTTTTTGAAGCGACAGATGGAGAGCGGATTTGTAGTATTTCACCAAAGTCTTGAATACGGGTCTCGGATAGACAACAAACATCGATATTAAGACTTTCCAAGGACATAGCCACCCCTATCTATTGTCCGACCTGCATAAGTGTGCGAACGTTGAAGGCAGCCAGTTTCAATGGTGCACGTGGTTTCATAAAAACTGCTTCAGTACTCATATTCGGTGGTAACATACAATTTTCAACCGGACAGTGACTCGAGAACGTTTAGATAGAGTCGAATTTCCACCATAGACGAGCTGCTGTATAAGTCGAAAAATAAGTATACACAAAGTGGGAATAAAAGAGAGTGAATAAATGACGTAGTAAATAATAATAATTAGTAATAATAATAACAATAATAGTAATAATAATGATAATTTGAATCATTTGATTGTTAGTCGAAGCAAGAAAAGTAGTTTCCATAAGTATAGACTGTTCATCATTTGTGTGTGTGCTGTGATGCTGCCCGAGTGACCAGACCGAAGCAGGTGGGTATCTTAGGGGGCTACACCCCGAGCCTTTGACCTAAAGGTCTGATCCACAAGGCAGTGGAGCATCGTGAGGAGGTGCAGTCCCATGGAAGCCGGTGACCAACGATTGGTTCATACGCCATTTGTTCCCTCAGGATACTGGAGCCCATGTACACCAGTGGTTTGGGATCCGGTTAAAGCGCCAGACCTTTGCTCTTCGTCCTCTCATTTTCGTTAACAACACCCCCGCCACGAGAAGGCAGTGAGTAGGACTTCCCTGGCAGCGGCTGTATACGCGTGACCGTGTGAGAGCATTTCGAGAGGGAATGCGGGCCCATCCCGCTCTCGGCCTTACCAGGGCATTTAGGGGCAGTGACTTGTGTGGCGCGTATGTATTCGGTGCATCTTTGTACCAATATTTGTGTTCACATGGAAAATAATTATATGAAAACAAAATTTATTTTCACCCTGTAAGTCACATTTTGTTCGGCGACTATAATCTTTTTCTCATTCTCTGCCAATTTCCCTATACCGTGTATTATAGTATGGTGAATATACACCGGTTAGATGTTCTGTTTTATGTAATACTACAGATTTCAGTTTACCATGACATTAATAAAGCTGTTAACATCAAGTTAGAAGATTTCGGTTTAAACAGTGATGCTTTTCATTTACTGTGACATACAAACCTTAGTATAAAGTAACAGTTTTTAACATCACACGAAGTTCATTGATATCAATAAGAACACGTCTGATTACTAAAGTATATATACGTTTCGCAAAACAAATGAAAAACACTTTTCATTTTACTCAATCAAGCTTTTACTACTACAAGTAAACTCATATTTTAAAATAGTAAAGGTTATTAACTGTTACACTTTTATCCATGACTTATGTATGCACATATTCATTAAAATTGTGTAATTCCAGTCTCAACACAAAATCTACGCGACCATGATTGTTTCGCTTGTGTAATTCTTTCTCATGGTGATGAGGGTGGATTAATATACGCAACAGATGGTTCTATTCCCGTGGATCGTATCATCGCTCCATTTCGTGGAGATCAATGTTTGGATTTAAGAGGCAAGCCAAAACTATTCTTTATCCAAGTATGTCCTTTTTAATTATGTAAATCTAGTTTCTGAACACTAGTGTGTGACGGTTTTAGAAAACAATTAGGGGGTTTTAGAGAAAATATTGGTTAGTTCTCCGAACAAGTTGTGTTGAACCATATATACGTGTGAGAATACTACAGTAGTTTAAAGGGAGTAGAACTTTTTCTCACTTTACAGTTGAAGATTATGTTGACCGTACCAATTCTTTAGTCTATTCTGACTTTTGTAAAGGATGTTGTACATATCTATTATTTTATGACACAATAACCAAGTACAAGTGTGTTTAGTAAGTTTTGAACCACACTTGTTTCATTCATTTTTGTGCTTGTCGTTTGGATCTTTCAATTTATGTTTAGGACCGCAATTGACCGGTCTCTTAGCATATATGCGTCCTATGCGGATTGCCTCGATATTGCATTAAGTCACAGACATTATAAGCAGAGATATTTGGTGGCTAGCAGTGGAATCCTGGACATGTGTTTCGTCGTATTTGGACTCGTCAGCTGGATGTACCTGTATCCCAGAGTTGATGCTCACTCCAGGACTTAAGCCCAATACCATTCGCTTCAAAAGCCATCGCGTTATTCACCTAGCTACTTGTGCAATGGGGTGGAATTAAATTCAGTTTTGTATTAGTTGTTTAAATCTTCCTATTGTCTTATATTTACTAAAGCTATCAGGATGTTCAAACCAAAGCTAGTCAGTTGATTATGTAGTTCCTGAGTGTTTACTAAGTCAAAGCACTAAATTAGCCATCATAGATACGAGTGTCGTATTGTTGATAGCTAAACGAACCGCCAAATTCCAATTGAATACACATAAGAGGACAAATTATCAAAGAAACTGACTGACTATCTTAGACAGTGAGAGCTATGATTTATATCCAACAAATAGCAGAGTTGCTTATCTGATTAACGATTAACAAAGAATGAAGATGGTCACTAAGTAATCAATAGTTTCACCATCACAACAGATATATCATGTGTTTTTCTTCTATTTCGGTATCTTCCTATCATAGTGACGTTTTAAGTCATTTGTACATACAATGTCAATAAATAACCAGCAAACACCTATTCATTTCCGATAGATTTGAAGACATGATTATGTTGTTTCTTCAGTAAATTGGGGACAGATATCTGTTTGTTATGTAGCTGACAGTTGAGCCCACTGGTCGATGATTGAAAGTAAATTGTAATATAGTTAATAATAATCTCTTATTAAATCAAGTATCAGAGAACTAGATCAAATCCAGTCTGTTAGTTCGGACACAACTAATACTTTTCTCATTCTGCTTTAGTTTATCTTTGTACAAGAAGTACATTATTTCGTTTTAAATTCTTCCAACTTTGGTTTCCATTCAGAGATGTTCTGGTTGTTTCTGTATTTGCCTGTGTTATATTTCTCTCTTATTACAACCCAGCTATTCCTATTGCTTAGTATCCTCGGACACCAATTCACTCGACAAATCCCCAAATCAGAACACGGTTGAATAGGAAAGAGATTATATTCTAAATAACAAGGTTAGATGGAAGTAAGAAGTACAATAGGAATAACGTTAGTATATTTATAATTTTTACATGAGAAGATTTCTAGAGTGTTCTCCAAGTATCGAGTAGCGCTCAGTGGATAAGAATTAGCCAATCAACGTGCACCAAAGCAATCGTGCATTAAGCATGCTTTAATCCAATCTATGTCCCGCTAACAGCCTGGCTTATTGTTTCTAATCTTTCTCTAAACTTTAATAGTAGCTATACCCTGTAATCTTCTTTGGAATAAAATGTTCTTCGTTTTTAATTCTATACCAATTCGAAATGGCTCAGAATAGAAGCCAGTGACGATCGTTCTGTAATTCTCTTTTACTTTCTTCTTAAAAAATGAACGTAACTACTTTAATTGAAAGGATTCTTCCTGGATATATTTTTACTAACTGAACTATCTCTTTATTATTATTATTTTTATTATTCAACTCTCACACTGATTTATTTTCGTTCTTGTTCTCTTATTATACACACTTTACATTATCTCTTCACAACCCATTGTTACTGTGTGGTGCATATGTGTTTGGTACTCCCTTGTATCAATGTTTATGTTTTCAAATAAATAAACAAACTGGTTGACTTCTTTTGATAGAGTTGCTCAGATGTGACTATCAATTAATTATTTGCACTAGTTATTGGTTTTTAATTATGAATTCAAGAAGTTCATCGTATGTTAAAAATATTAGCCGATTCCGGATTCTAATAAATGTTTATTTCCAATCTGAGCTTCAAAGTTAGTGTCTCGATACGATAAGTAATATCTGTCGTCTTAAGTTAGTAAACAAGAAATAGACTAGTGGTCCGAGCTGTGCAGGTAATGTGGTATTATTAGTTATGGCTTGCGCGATATTTACCACCTATCGTTAATTTTATACCTCAAAATTGGTTGCAGTGGTACCATTCTATGATTTTATGCGTTTCTTTTGAACTATATTTTCTATGTCAAACTTTCCACCATTGTGTCATTTTTTCCATTTTTTTTGTCCTTTCATTGTGTTAACTTCCTATCAGTTTGCTGAGATAGATACAACTTTCCCGTATTCTGCATTGGGTTTGACTAATTATTAGCTACAATTACCACTTTTTCGGTCTTTAGTTCCTTTTAGTCAGTGTAATTCACTACTTGGATGATGTTTAAATCTAGTTATTTGTTTATCTTATTAGGCATGCCGTGGAATGGCACTTGATGACGGCGTATTTGTTTGTGATGGACCTTTATCTAATAGTAAATCTGCGGATGCTGCGACAACAACAAGACGGATTCCAGTTGAGGCAGATCTTTTCATCGCCTATTCAGTCCAACCAGGTATTTTTCAAGTTTATGCTGATCTGTTGGTTAATCTTTCTGATGTTGTGCAGTGGAATTGAGGCCAAGGTTAAGTAATATAGGGACAAAACTTTTAAATTCCGAATAGAATATCAATCCACTTGTGTCTGCTTGGTTAGCTAGGTAATATTTTTATTCGTCACACAATCTTCCTTTTATATATTACTACCATCGAAGTAACGGCTTCTATGAATTCGGTGTTCATCTTGTGCTAATGAAGTGTGGCAACTTGGACCGATGCATTTATGTACCTGGTCCTACGTTGTAGCTGACTGACTCACACGTATATCGGTAAAGCTTTTTTCTCAGCTATGTGCTTAATTGCTAAAAGCAGAATGTAAATGATCCTTCTGAGGATTTTAGACAATCTGTACAGAAATTGGTAAGATAATGAAGATTAAAATGTATTAATATTTTTGTGATCCACTGATCTGACTGCGGTTCGACCTTATAATGATTTTAACGAAACATGCATCCTTGCTACCCTGATACATAAGTATTGACTTAATCCGCGTTACTGAATAACGGAATAAGCTGAATACGAGGATGACTTTTGGGTACGTATATTTTATACACCCGTTGATTCAAACAGACAATCAGGATGAAAATCGAAGCGAAGAAACAGACAGGAGATCAAGTATGACTCGATATTTATAGCCAGACAAAAATAAACTAGAGACATGTGATGAGTAGGGTAAACGACGCACATATAGGCACATACAAAACACAGTCAAGGTAAGCGAATGATTGACAAGGTCAAAATATGACTCAAGAAGAACTGATAAATCAGTCTGTCCGTAAGCTAGAATAACCCATGCAGGCGTGACATGGTAATGAAATTACAATATCATGTTCATTGTATATGCTAAAAAAATTTCCATAGCAAATTTATTTAAACTGCTTATCAAAATAGATCAAATAGATTTTTTGTCCTACTGGCGTGATAGCTCTAGGCTCTGTCGTTATTTTCAGTCCTGCCTCAAGCATCGATTCAGTTCATTTTAATAACCTTGTTTGTAATCGTCTCTCCCCAGTTTTTTTGCTGTCTTTGTTTGACCTTACATTCACGCTAACTTTTCTGTTTAGTTGGTTCATGACTATGTGATTAATTAACCTTTTTTGGTGGATTTATAGATTGGAATTTTGTTTATATGTTTACGAATTGCCCATTGATCTGAATCTCTTGTCTCTAAAACCTCTCGGGAATTCTTAGGATTTGGACGGTTGACTAATTCAAAAAATTTCCGTAATTACTTGTGTACACTAATACCAGTGTTGACACTATATCGTCTCACTTCTAGTGTTTTCGTTTATGTGTGGGCGAAGTCGGTGCGCACTTTGTCCAATATAGTGCTTCAGGTATTTGGTACAGTCTATTTTGTTGACCATGTAACTTTTTTTTCCTTTGGTATTGGTTTTTCCCATCTGCACTACTCGTGATAGAATGTTGTTTTTGGATTTTGAGTGACATTGATTCCCAGGGATTGCAAAAGCCTTATGATTATTTTTTCCATATATTGTTAAACGATTCGCTTTAGCAATCGACCTGAATGGAACCTGTTGAGGAAGTTGTAAGGGTAATCAATTTTACGACATACTAACAAAAGGTGGATTTCCTAAGTTTTTTATATAACGTGATTGTTGGAGTGACTTGTGGCTCTCCTAAATGGTGTTGGTGCACAAATTTTCTTGTGTGATTTCAGACCCCAGATGTTGTGATTTGTCATCAATATTATTTGCTTCCCTAAATAATTTTATTTCTAACGTCCCTGGGCTTGTTCTGTTTATTATGACAGGAAGTAATGCAGTCTTTCCTAATTTTTCATTAAACTGATTTAATGCCTGTATTACTACTGAAAAGCACACTTCTACATCAAATGGACACTGACCATATTGTCTAAAACGATAGTTAGTACTCTACAATTAAACTGTCTAATTAGAACACAGAAACAGTATTATTTACTAGATTATTTATCGAATAAAAAATTTCCTAATATTTTGACAAAATGGGCGGTCTTTTTTCTAAAAATAATGCTTAGGAAATAAAAAGCTAGTTGTTCAAACGAATTTACTTCCCCCGTATAGAACACCATGATATATCGATTTTCTTATTTTCATTTATCATTCATAGTTTGACAGAATTAATTTGTTCTTCACCTATTAAACAGTCCAATAGTTCCTTTCATCCCCACTCACTAGGCGTGACATCCTAGTGATGCAGCAGACAATAACATAATTGGCCTTAGGTGGTTGGCAGAAAGACCTGGATCTAGGTTTCTCTCAATTTTCATTCACCAACAAGGTGTACCTGAAATCTTAAGGGAACTGGTACTTCATATGGGATCCGAACCCTTGGTCATTGCTCAGTGATCAATCAGTTGTACAACATTGTAGTATAACTTTAAGTTACTTTTTTCTTGTTTCATGTGGTGTTATTTACTGGGCATGACTGCGGATATAAATATCTGTTTACATTCATGGTTTGTTTTCCGTCTTTTTTGTAATTAATTTCAATTCAGATAAATGTAAGTCATTAAATAAAAGTAGGTTTGTTTACCAAACTTCTTTCTGTACTGTTTGTATGAAGTATGGCGATGCTACTCGATTATCTACACTAAAGCAGATTGAGTAGGATTCTAACCTACGACCTACTAACACTGAGTCGATTATGCCACTTAACAATGTAACTTCATGTACTTGCCTTTGAGCAACACGTTATAAATGAAGGCTAGTGGTACTACACAGCTACCTAAATCAAGGTAGGTAAAGTCGTACTCGAACCGGCTACTAAGTGGTTGAAGGTAGAACATAACTGTTAAATCATCGTTTTGTTCACTATCTTTCCCTCTTAATCCCAGAATTTTACAATATTTTCGATACATGGTACAAATCATCATCCTTGTTATATTGCCGTTCAGTGGTAATTGATAAATAGGAGTTAGGTCGATAAGTCTAATTAAAAATCAGTATAACCCAATCTGATTTGTCTGATTAAGTCATTTGATGAGATTATTTGTGCGATAAGATTTGATTCTAAATGATTTTCAATTATACCCAGTTAAAGTGTAACTCAGTAAACGTTTCATCAGCAAAAGTGTCATGTTTATATTCACCATTGTTACTGCAATCTATTTTATGTTTGTTCGTAGTCAAATATAAATGAATAAAATTATGAATTATTATTCTTCGCATTTTATAACGGGAGAACTGTACTCAATTATAAAGCGGTCACATGACACTTGATATTTTCGGCTTCAATTGTTTATAATTAAATTGGCGCAGGGAACAAATTAAGTTCCCAAGAGAAAAGTGTAAAAAAGTCATTTTTGGTTGCACTGTTTCAAAATCGTGACTTCATCAACATAATAAACGCTGAGCTGGTTGGTTTGGTCGAGGAACTTTCATTGTTCCTCTGAAAAATATCATCAGCACAAACTTCAGGTAGAGGTGAAGTGTTCGAATTTCTCCACATATGACTCACAGCTTGTCCTGTAGACCTCAAACTTGACTGGTTATTGTTGACCTGCAACATGTCACGACATGCTGATGATATTGTTCAGAAGAACAATGAAGGCTTCGTGACCAAACCATCCAGTTCAGTGAACGAAACTCCGCCTAAATCACCCATCTGAGCTATAACTTCTTGTCTGAGGACTTTTTTTGATCATGAATGTTTGTTTCGGTGACGGCATCTACATCAGTCACTTTAATTGTTTATAAGTTTCTTGATTCAAATCATTCTCTATAATTTATTGAATCATTACTAAACTCTTAGTCTAAATAACAGTATATATTGTCTTTTGATTATAAATTAGGATTTCATCTAGTTATTAAATTCTTTAAACCTAGCTGTTTTTTTCCATCTAAGGTTATTACGCTTTTCGTAACTCCGTCAACGGTTCTTGGTTCATACGAGCCTTATCTGATGTCTTGCTTCGGTATGGAAATACTTTAGATTTGTTGAGTATCATGACACGTGTGAACTATGAGGTTGCTTTTGAATACGAGTCAACTGCAGCCAATCCCTCATTCTGCGGTAAGAAGCAAATGCCATCGTTTGTGTCTACTTTGACGAAGCACGTCATCTTTCCACCAAAAAAACATCGAAATACTTCGAAACTGCTGTAAAGTTTTTAATTCAAAGCAACTAACTAATGGATATATTCATTAAAATTTTTCAGATTCGAAACAAGAAAATAACGTGATATAATTTTCTTACGATAAAGTTCAGAGAAACAATTCTCTACACTTTAAATGATATTTTCTCTAAATTCCATATCCCTTGTGAAGTACATGTTGAAAATGATAGCTATCTAATTTTTTGAACAATCTGTTACATGATCTTCAATTTATTTTGAGATAACGATTTATTTAAGCCTTCTATTTGACGACCTAAATATCCTACTGAATAGCTAAAAAGTATATTTTAGTGACGTGTTTAAATCCATAAGAAACCTTCGATACTGACAGTCTTAGCGTAGGATATATAAAATGGTCGAAATAATGTCGAGTAAAAAAATTAGTGTTATACTCAGATGCTACTTTCTGTCTTTTTTTCTGACGAATTTACTTTCCCAAACTAGAATATTCACCATTTATATTGCAGTTATTTCGATTGTTACTTTTTAGACTGCTCTGTTTTTGTTCCTCGATATTCTTCACTGGAGTATATTCATCAGTCCTATTTGTGTGATTCATGTGCTTTATTTACGTCAAACTAGTTTGGTAACGTTCGATATTTTAGAGCCTCCTTTCCAGAGTCGCAGGATGAGCCTTGTTCGCTTGAAGTTTAAAACAAATTCTGAAATCTTCGTGGTGACAGATCCTTCGTAGGCAGCGTACTATAAAGTAATGCAAATGATTTTCACCCTGACTTGAGATAAACAGAAAGCGCTGGTTGTCTGCTTCGCCTTAGTGCTGAATTCGCTCTTCGTTGACGTTTACATATTCCCTAACTTTATTGCGTTTCTTATTAAATTCAGACTGGACCTCTGATAAACACAAGTGAAACAACCACTAGGGTCAATATGAATAGACTATGTCTAGAGTTGATCATTACACAATTCCTGGTGCTCATGGTATCTACATTTATCTGATTTCCAGATATTTGAAACAATGCTGTTCGAAAAATGGACAGAATTGTCGGTAAGTCGTCGTGTGCACAAAAGTCTAAAGGAATGTAATTGGCCCGCAAAACTGACGTTTGAATTAGCGAACCAATCCAGCTCTTCCAATGTTTGAGAACATTTTCATCATGAATAGTGGATAATGATACGGATATTTAGGATCTACTCGGCTTCATTTTTGTTGGTTTCAATAAACCCAAGGTGTGAAACCAGTCGTCAGCTGTATGTCTAGTGTTACAGGGAGTGTCAACAAGCTAGATTCCTTTGGGCATACTGTTAACCATTAGGGTATTTGGTTGATGAGTGTATTACTGGATATTTGTGACCGGTTACGTACAAACAGCCATTTATATCCATGAGACTGATTATTCTCATGAAGCGAAAACGACAAAGGATCCGTACTAGTAAATGTCTGACTAGATATTGCAGTATTAATTAACAGGTTGATCTGATTGTATAATCGGAAGTCGAATAAATAAGAAAAGCGTTAAGATGCAGCAGATGTTCGGGTTGAGTCAAACCGAATAAACTTTGGTTCGTTAGTTCTGCTTTTAGACCGGCTACTGTTGCCGTTAAATCGTGCGGGCAAGGACGTTTATTGAGTGGTTTTTCGTGTCGGACTGTTAGGTGCTTGAGAAACTACAGAGTTTTCTGTAATGTCTCAAGAGGCTGCTATACTTGTGCTTCTAATCAGGTCTATCTGTCGCTCCTGGTCTACAGACATGTCGTTCGTGTAGTTTGGATTCGTCTGCAACTATGGTGAGTGAGAGTATAACAGGTCTGGGATGTCATTTTGTATTTTTGAGGCCTTCCTTTAACAGAACAAACTTCGGTGCTGGATGTTCTTATGGTTTTCAGAATCCGGTTGGCAGATATGGCCAGTTCGTCTAGAGCGATATTTTTAAATGACACAAGGACCGCGTGCACCTGTTGGGGGAAGAGTAGACAAAAGGAGCTGTTTAAATAGGCTCTCGTCAAATGTCCATTGACTAACAGCCTTGCTGAGTCGTGTTCCAACTCACTGGTTTAGAAGAGCTGGTCCGAATTTTGTCGGTCGGTGAAGTCTCCGCGTTTATGTATGGCTCTCACAGTGTCGTAAGGTTCAGAAACCTCACTAGTTAGCATACTAGGTGTAACGTAACTATTAAGGTCGCATGGTGATCTCTATACCACTGAAAGTAATTTTACAAACGGCACTGTCACGCCGTGCTAGTGGAAGTAAGTTTCTGCATAGCAAAACCAGGTCTCGATATTGTTGGACTGGAATGACATGAGCTGAAAGGTGGGAGGTGAAGGAGTTTTCATCTTAAGTGGTTTGCGAGTCTGTTCTGTACAAATTGTCAATAGAAAAATACACGAAAATATCAAAACTTCGACATTTATGTAATACTTTAAGCGTTATCACTAATCTTTCCGAACCAGCTTTGTTTTCTCGGCTTTTGCTACTACTAATACTCATGTCAGTGTATTCTTTCTAACGTGTCGTATGTGATAAAATGTTTGTGTATATTGTTTCGAGTATGATTTTGTAAATATCAAACTCAGGAATGATCTTTTTTGCTAAAATAAACGTAGCTGCTACCTGGAATCCTCCAACCGCATTCAAGAAAGGATCTCCGGTTTGTTATTCTCTTCAATATATTTGATAACTCTCAGATGCTGAGTGTACAGTTGTTTTTGGTACCTTTGATATATTTCAGAGCATTATGAAACTTGTGCACCTGTCAACCTTGAACGAAGTCGGAGATGCTATCCGTTTTTTGTTCATTGAAAATATACCATATAACATTATTAGACTACTTAGACACATGACGTCATGCGTGAAAACAAGCTGAACGATGAAAACTCAAATCCGCTACCAATGTATTGTGTATTTTTATTGTTTTGACCACAAAGGGAAGTCGGAGGGCCATAGTCAGAGAGTAAAATGATGAGTGACTGTTATTATGCTCACTTCTTTACAGACCGATGAGTACCGGTTGTCGAGCCGTGTTTCGTTTTCCGTATGATCTCATCTGATACATAATAATAGCTTTATCTAAAATGGTCCAAAGTTACCCTTAAAATAAAAGTAACTGACAAACGATGCGTGCTTCAGGAAATTAAGTGATGATCATTTACAGGTTATCATGTTGGCGAAAAAAACTGGTAGTGATCCTGAGCAGTTTGTTAAATATATCGAAGAGGATTTTAGAAAGACCATTGTCGTCCACTACGTCAGTAAAGTTGTCAAACGTTTTTCCATCGATCTGTAGAGTTATGGTTTACTTTTATAACAGACTCAATCCTAAGATTGTCATGATGTTACTGCCTAATTTATAGGATCTTGCGTGGAAGTCACATCATTGTATACACTGACCCGTATCGTAACAATCACCAATATATGATGGGGAAAACATTTAAGTTGGAGATAAAACAATATATTTAATGTGAATAAAAGTTTTGTTGAATAAGAATGTCCACGCCTGCAAGGCCTGGCCATGCCATCCCATGCATTTTCGTTGGTTGAGTTCATTCTTCCCGCCTTTTCGCATCGTTTGGTTTTTTCTTTGCGTTAAATGTTGAGTATCTGTTTTCCCAGTTGTCTTTATTCAGCTTTGAGGGTAGTGTGGTCAGGATCCAATACCTTTACAGATCTATGGTTTGTTGGGCTATGGAAGTTCCAGTGATGTGCTACGGTGTGGATTCTAACCAACTGACAAAAATAGCATCCAGTTCTAGTCTGCAAATTGGAATGACTTAAATTTCGAAAACCAGGCTTTATATTATATTCAGTAAACGTATACTTATTTACCGTGAAAGCAATAACGGGGGTCGTAACATGTTTAATGGGACTATATTCGTATGTTCAGAGAAGCTAAGAGAGCATAGACCGTTGTACTTTACCGTATAGGGTACCCTTATGTTATCGTTATTCCACCAGTGTAATCGAGGTATCGCAGGATGTCGTAGGGCATTTCATTAGGAAATAAAGAGATTAAACACGGAGACGTTAGGGATCCTCATTTCATGTGTCCATACACCGACTAGCATGACGCGTCCTTATGGGTCGAATTAATTATAAGAAGACTATGGGAGCAACGGTGTTTCCATTGGTAATATATACACGAAATGAAAAAAATGCAATGTAATATTTCTAAGTGTCACTTACGGAATGTGAACTAGATGTTGAGTCTCAAATGTTTTGTATTTTCTACAAAATAACATTGGATCTAAAAATTTACTCAGAAATGAGTACATTCAAAAAGGAATAGTCAACAAAAATTCACACCAGGTTTCCACTTACAATCCTTACGTTGATAATGTTAAGCCTAAGTCTTTGGTATCTTTTTAACCAAATTTAAAACAAGTGACTTATTATTAATAGAAGTCCTTGTGAGAATAAAGCGAACGTCTAACCTGCTTTTTAGATATAATGTACAAATCATATGTTTCTAAGCAAAGGGGGATTTACACAACTGTGATTTATTAACATGCTCATGGATATTAGTCAAAGAGTAGTTCAAATATTATAAACTGCAGGACATGGCATGTGCTTTACGCTGTGTTGTTGTTTCTTCCAATCTATGTGTCCCAATATATTTACGGCGAGATATATTAGGAGATCTGCAGTCTTACAAAATATCATTGCCAGTAGAAGGACAGGTTTTTATTGTTGACCCATAGTTGGTTGTATTTAATTAGAACGTGTAACACACCTTCAAGAAATACGGAATCTCATGCTAGTCGTTTTGTGATTTCGACTCCTAAGCACAATGAAGGGAATCAAGAATCATGCCATTACCGTTGCTAAAATTATATGTTTCATCACTTGCCTCAAGTACTATTATTATATTGACTAAACTGGATTATGCGACAACCACGTATACCAAACTAAGGTGTCGTAATTTTTATCTTATTTGCACGGACATTTCACTCAAATTCGTTAGATATACACAGTTAGGTTTATAAACCCGTAGCAGTTGTAGTTTTTTTGCCAACGACATGCTCTTGGGCTTAAAATTCGAGGTGGCCGCGTCATAAGGTCATCACTAGGTGAGAGAGGTTAGATGAAGCGCCAAATAAATCCCAAAACAAATAGTTCTATAAGTTTTCGTCACATATATTGACCTCATTAATCTTACTGGACACATCTGGCTGAAGGCGAGCGGTTGCGCCTCCGCACCTATCCACTGTAGCTGCTAGCTTAGACCAAATTCTTCTCGACATATCGATAGCTTTCTAAATTTTCCTCGCATCCCTTCATCTCTAACTGGGTTGGTGAACTTCGATCATAAAGATGTTATATATATAGGAGTTGCCAAACTGACTACCTGTGACACCTTCAAACTCAAAAACAAACTATCGTATCCGACAAACGATATTGATTCGAGATAGAAAACAGCAGTCATTTAGACTACTACAAGTATAATCCCACTCGCTCGTAAGAATTTATTCACGTCTAAAGCGGCATTATCCGTAGATAACAGATATAGTTCAAATTATCGTTTGTGTAGAATCCAGGGTTTCGAAAATTACGATGTCATTGTCATTTGAACCGTTGATAATTGTGGTGTTTGTATGAACTAACGATTTCTTAGTACTTGTCGAAAGCTTGATTTCGAATTCCAAATACAGTACATTCGTTCGTTACTTACTTACTTATTTACGCCTGTTACTCCTAATGGAGCATAGGCCGCTGACCAGCATTCTCCAACCCACTCTATACTGGGCCTTCTTTTCTAGTTCCTTCCAATTCTTGTTCATTTTTCTCATGTCTATCTCCATTTCTCGGCGTAATGTGTTCTTCGGCCTTCCTCTTTTCCTTTGACCTTCAGGATTCCACGTGAGGGCTTGTCTTGTGACGCAGTTGGGTGCTTTCCTCAATGTGTGTCCTATCCACTTCCAGCGCTTCTTTCTGATTTCTTCCTCCACTGGGATCTGGTTTGTTCTCTCCCACAGTTGGTTGTTGCTAATAGTGTCCGGCCAATGGATCTGAAGTATTTTGCGTAGACAATTGTTAATAAACACCTGTATTTTCTGGATGATGGCTTTTTTAGTTCTTCAGGTTTCTGCCCCATACAGTAGAACTGTCTTGACATCTGTATTGAAAATTCTGACCTTGGTGTTGGTTGACAGTTGCTTTGAGTTCCAGATGTTCCTCAGTTGTAAATATGCTGCTCTTGCTTTGCCGATCCGCGCCTTCACATCTGCATCAGATCCACCCTGTTCATCAATGAT